CTATTCAAGCTTGCGCACATAGCTAAACTGGACTAAAGCGTAATCAGCACAATTTTGGACCGGTTCACAAAACTTCAATCTATCCGATGTGATGTCAGAGTATAGTTTTGCTTCCAAATTCCAACTTTTCATTTTCAGCCCTCACTACGCTTAATCTCGGCACATGCAGCATGCCAGCTGCGTAGTGACAGTATCGCATAAAAATCTGAAATATTAAGCAAAGTTCGTTTTAAAAGTTTATTTGAGCCAAGACTGTTATGTTGTGTGCTGATCATGTAAAACAAAGATCTAAAAGAGAAGATCAAAGAGCTAAAAGGCAATTAATGACAAAAACAAAGCCTCTGTCATAATTCGTCTGGTCACAAATATATGTAACGAAAATAAAAAAGCTTTTCTTGCAAACGACCGTCTTTGGACTAAGTAATAATGAGGTTTCATGATGCTGTGATGATGAACGATTTGGATTAGGTCATTAAAAAAAGAGTACTCAGTCATTGTTGAACATTAGGCAAGGTTGAGGCTTATGGCATATTCTCTCTTTCTGCAATAAACTTTTATTTTGTGCCGCTCGCATGTGCGGTACGCCTTGACACGGGTGTTGAAAAGGGGAAGAGATTGATATAGAATCTCTTCGTGGTCGACTCCATCTTCTGCCGGGAAGACATGCGAATTCCATTTTTCATTTTTTAGTGTTGTCAGCGAAACACGGTAGTCAAGAAGGTTCCTGAAGTACTTCTTTAGATTTCTCCTTCCTTGTGCTGCTTCCATAAGTCGATTACCTGTACTTTCGAAGTTTTTTTTGCAAAGCTGTTCTGCTTGGTATTGGCTACAATCGTTGGAGAAGTGATGCAGTCGGATCCAGCCTCAGTGCTCTTCTCCTCTTTAGCAGATTGGTGGGTTTCGAAATTCGTTCAAAGTTCCTTGTGCGAGGCATTAAGGCACTTTCAACACCAGCTCTCAAAGCAGGTCGCAGTCTTTCGTTGGGTCCTACTTAATGGGCCAGTCATAAGTGAGAGCTCCTTCAATTTGATGCCGTCATATACGACTTCTTCCCTTCCTCCGACACAATGGCAGATCTTTTTGGCTTTCGGCTGAATCGCACTTTT